TTGAAGAGCACCATAATATGTATGTTTTGGAAAAGAAAGTTATAAAAATTGTATTAGAAATTTTTATACAGCGCTTTAGTAAAAATGTGGTAAAATTTCCTTGAAAACAACCAATTTTTCTAAAAGTACAATATTTACTTAAAAAAATTTATGTATTCACATATTTTTCCCCCCTATAAACACTCAATTTGTTTCAAAAATTTGTTTTTATAAAAAAAATTGGGTTCGAAGGTAGGCAGACACCTTAATCTGTAGCTAACAAGAATATACAAATGTTTTGTAGAAGGTGCTTGTGTGTGAAGCTTTGAAAAGGAACACACGACAGAAGAAAGAACAAAGAGAATACATTACAATGAGATATTTTATAAAAAAAATTTTTGATAAGGTTAGATAAAACATTCGCAAGCAATGAGGATAAATCTAAGAATTATTTTAAATGGCAATGTGAAACTAACTTACTCGCAGCAAAAGATGGAAATTATTCCAAAATATTTTGTATGAAAACACATCAAACCTATTTACTTTTCATTAAATAGTAATTACAATGGGCTATTGCCCCCCAGAGATTTAGAGTTAGTCATTAAAAACTAGATATACTAATACTTTTATGTGGAATAAAATATAATAACATTAGTTGTATCATTGTAATGCATTATAATTAGTTGCATTAGCATTAGTTGTAGCATTGTTGAGATATAGTAAAGTAATATTTAAAAAAAATAAAGTTTCTATTTCCACACACACACACATCAAAATATATCTATAAACTAAATAAACTAACCTCTAAACATTTGAAAATTATTTATGAAAACAAACTTAATTTTAAAATTATGTATGAAATTCAGTTTTAACATACATTCGTACACAAATCTTGCAGGATAATATTTGTGTCAGCTATAAAATAATGCTACTAATAAATAGAACACTATTTTTTTTAAAGCCTGTTTGAATTTTGTAACTCATAAAGTAGAAACATATATTTTAAATCTATGGTTAAATAATGCTTTGATTTTACAAAAAAGGTGTACAATCATCTACAGAGATTAATGAATTGAAATGAAGTAATTAAATAACATTTAATCAGAATCACCGATAAAACTTTTTTTTTGTACCTTAGGAGAACTTCAATACTATAATTTATATTCGATTTGTGAGCCACACCCATCTGGTACAGTGGTTAGTGACGCTGTTTACGGTTCCGTAGGGCCCGGGTTCGAATCCCGGAGAAAGGCTTGGATGCTGGTATAGCGTCTTCGCGGCATGAGGGTATTCTAAATAGCCGTCAAGCCGCAAGTACTCTCGTGAGGTTGGAGGAAGGGGAAAGGAGGTGGAAGGCCCCTGACCACCCCCAGAGGTTCTCCCTCAAAATTGGGGTGGAACCGAGTAAAATCGTACTGTCGCCTGCTTGGTGCTCAAATCTGAGGTTAACGACAGGCGTAAAAATCTAGCCCTTAGCTGCGATGAATTTCGTGGACCTTCTTATGATGTTACTGTCAATCAGGTGGCATAAGCAACACAACAACACATTCTATTTGTCCTCTTTTCTACTCTCTCTAAGTAAACTTACCACCATTTGCATTAATTTTTATGCGTCCTGGTAAACTATTTTATCACTTTTCATTTGTGCTGCCATTAATAATTTCAGAAAATTAAAAAAAAAACTATATAATCTCTTACATACCCTGTTCCCCCTCTCATAATAATGGGATTAAGAGAGGTCAATATCCTGAAGCTATTTTTTCCCAGTCTTACCTTTCATTTCTTTGCTTATTTTTCGTACATTTGGGATATTTGGACATGGCAATTGATTTCAGGATTTTCAAGTCGGAAACGAAAAGACGATCCATAAGTTTCCTGGGTAGTAAAAAATGATTCCAAAGTATAAAGTTCGTAGCCATATTCACATTTTATATCAGGGTTGTCCAACACGCGGCCCCCCAGTACGTAAGTAACGGCCCGCCGACTCCTTTTAAAAAATTTTTAAATATCAGATTTTTAAATTTTTTCATTTTGAAATTTATTTGAGGAGAAATTTATATATATATATATATATATATATATGTGTGTGTGTTCCCATGTTTTTCAAGGGCAAGTATACTTAACACCAAAAAGGGATGTTAAAAATCAAATTAATTTTACCTAACAAGCTAAATGTGTTTCCTTTTTAAAAATCAGTCTCAATTCCCAAAGTATTTTAAAATACCTTTACTAAAAATAAATTACACGTTTCAGGGTTAAATTGAAATTAATATAGTGAAAAACATCAACTGAATATCTAACATTTAAGCTTTGAAAATACATAATTAAAAAAGAAAAAAGTCTGTATTAGAAATGAAGAGTAGTAGTGCAATAAGTGGTTAAGATAATTAACAGTAATAGTATGGTATATCATTTTAATATCCGGTATGTTTAAGTAGAACATTTTTTACTTCATTATTCAGCTGCTTATTGAGTCTAGATATTGTAATTTTAGAAAGGTTATCGCAAAGAAGTAAAAGATATAATGAAACTCTCCTTTCATTACTTATTCTCTCTCTCTCTCTCTCTCTCTCTTATTCAAGAATATTCCCTAATTTACTCTTTCTTCGTATTCTTAGAAAAAATGTCATGGTTTCTTTTAAAACTCGTATATAATTAGTGACTATTAATAATAATATTTTGACATTGACTATTATTCGGCGAGCGAGTGAAGAAACGATTGCTTAGAGAAAAAGTGTCATGGTATTTTTATGCTGGAATCCGATTTAAATTATAGGAGGTAGGATTCAAAAGTTCAAGGACTGTGTCTGTAACTTCAAAAAAATACTACCAATTAAATTGCTGAAACACACACTTTTTTAAAATAAGTACCTTGAGTAACAACACACTTATTCCATTGCTTGTAAATGTATCGAAACATTTCTGGAAACTATTTTTAGCCATGTCTTTTAATTCAGCCTACGTTGTACTTTTAATTTCATCAGTAAATTTTTTGGAATCCACAACCTTGAAAGCGAAACACTAGTTCTGGAAATATTCTGATGTTGAAGGGGGGGGGCGAAATCAGGGGAGTAAGGAGGATGTGGTAAAACAGTTGCTTTCTTTTTTATTCCGTCGTTGTTTGAAGCCTGTTCTTACGTACTGCCGCAGAAACCTTTTCAACGTTTTCAGTGGTACAGGAAGTTTGCCGACGTTCAGAGTGTTCGTCGTATTCGACACTTTCCCTGCTTTTGTGACTAATCTATTCGCGATCCTTCCACTAATCCTCTTGGGAAATCTTTGGGCTATCAAATCGCGTAATTCACAACCAACCGAATTATCGTGATGAAAGAGTTATTAAGAGAAAAATTTAAAATGACGATTGATCACTGAGATTAAATTAATAATAGATTGAATCAGATGACAGATTAGATCCTGTATAAAATAAGGATCAAGTTTGATAGTCTTCTAATCTTTAGTGCATTCCGTTGTTGTTCCTCTTTCGTGGTTAGCACAGAGACATTCTCTTAAAATTATTGATGGAATTTGTGTCGTTATATTGTGTGATTAATAAATAGATTGATTGGATCATGGCGAGTGTTTCTTCCCTACCTCCTATAAATCTAGGTGCCCAAGAAAGAGGTGAAAACCTCTCACACTTCGAAACGTTGATACCACTAAAAAGCTTGCTTTCGTGACAATGTATCACTGCAGTGCATATGCTTTAATAGTTCGTATGTCTCCGTAGCTCCCTAAAGTAATCGTCTTTTTCGCACTCTTTTAATCGTAGGTTACTAAATGCATTCACTAACGAAATACGTCGCCGTGGCGAGCCACCGACCTTTTGATTTAGGACAAATCACTTTTAGAAAAGAGGAAAAAAAAAAAGCAGCAACACATGAAATGTTATCATGGTCTCTCTACTGTAAAATTTTTTTCACATTATAGGCTTAGTCCGGGAACTTTTGAATCCTACCTCGTATGTCATGTGCTAAGAAAAGGCAACCTCAATCTCAGGTTATGAAAATGTCTTTTTTAAATTCCTACTATTAGTTCACACTCTCCTTATATATATATTTATTTACATATCTTGTTCAAACTTTCAAGCATTGATAAAAAAATTTTTATTCATCCACTCAAGTTCAAATACATTTTTAAAAACTTTTAGTGGATAATACTTGATGTTAATACAGCGTTTTCAAATATTAATTCATTAACTAAATTTAATTAATTATTTATAATTTAATAGCTGTATTTCAATCAATATTATTCCTTTAGAAGGCAGCACCATTGGATAAAACAGCTTTTGTTAAATTTGTGAAGAAGATTTAACTTAACCTAAATAGTTAGATGTCAGCATTCCTTTTGCACTGGTTCTAAGATAAATTCTTACCTATTATATTCAACTTAAATTAAAAATTTAATTACTAATTTAATGCGGTTAAAAATTTTTGAAGTTATTTTAACGTTTAATATTATATGTATATACATATTTATATTAACTGAAATTATTTAATAAAAAGTAACTAATATATAAATTTTTTCTTTGTTAGCTTAAGTAGGAATGGACTTTAAAACTTCTTTTCATATCACTTGTTTTAAATACATTTGAGAAGCTTCAGTAAGGAGCCTGCAATTTTCTACTTATTCTGTTATATCAAAATTATTTCTTTCAGCAAGGTAATGTTCTTAGTCTGTTATTGGGAGTATTGTTCAACCTTTAAACACTGGGCAAGGAATAAAAATCCAGCTGTGAGTTGAATAAAACAATATGAATAGATTCTACAAAGATCCGCCGTTTAGAGGGGATAATGCACGTCTAGTTTGACAAATCACTTTGGCTGGAAGCTTGGACAAGAGAATTTCGGCTAGATGTTGTCCTCATCATCTGATTCCGTGACTGAAACTTATGAAGTCCGTCGCTAGTAGGACTCGTCTATGTTCAAATCGTAGCATTAATAATCAATCAATAAAGCAAACTCTACATACTTAGGATCGCGAATCCTCGCCTCGTGTGATTTTAAAAAAGAGCGCATAAATGGATAATTTCATGATATTTGGTGTCATCTAGATTAGAACACATATCTAAAATTATTTTAAGGACATTTTGACAAAAAACATTATTTAAGCACAATATTTAGGCAAAAAATTAACTTAGAATAACCTTTTTTCAAAATGCTCTTCTTTTGTGAAAAATGATTCCATTATATAATAATATTTTCCCTGTATATAGCTCAGACCTCTGTACAGAGGCTCTACTATCATTGTTGAAAAATTCACATTATTTTCAGAGTTACAACCAATTGAAATAATTATCGGCGTTTTTTTTTCTTAAAATTTCTCTCCTCTGTTGACGTAAAACTTGGATAAACCCACTTCTAAGTTATATATATATCAAACATTTTAGTAGAGCCTCTTTACAGAGGTCTGCTCTATAAACAGGCAAAATATTATAATAGAAGCATTTTTCACAAAAGGAGAATAATTTGAAAATTGGTCATTTTATGTTCATTTTTTGTCAAAATATTGTACAATTTTTTATTGTAATACTATTCTGAAAACAATTTTATATACATTTTCTAAATATCATAAATATTATCCATTTATATACTTTTGCAAAATCACGGTTCCGGACGTAGTCGGATAACTTAATTTAATTTAATGTATGTAAATACAGGGTGGGGCATGGGAACATCCTTTTTTGAAAATGCAACAAAACACACTACATGTTTCATTTGACTTAATTGTTATTTTCCGCCTACCACACAACACTG